TAACTCTATTTTAACCTGGAGTCAGTCTTGTCATGTGTCATGTTTGGGTGCTGCTTTTCCTGCTGTCTCTGTGTCTTGTGTTCCCGCAGGTGGATCCGGCGGACTTGACCGAGGGTGAACTATCCCTTTAACAAATAGTATCCTCAATTCCCAAACAATTAAACATTGTAATTAAAAGTATGATGTGACACAGTGTTAACCGTGCCTCTCTCCCAACTTTTTTTCGGAGTGTGTTGCAGCAATCAAAATCTAAATTTGTTCATATTTATCTTAAAAGTACAAAGAAAAGATTTCTTATGTCAATTAAATAAAAGTGAAAGAGAATTAACAAATCAGATTCTTGATTTTACAAAACGTCCCAACTTCTCTGGAATTGGGATTGTAATTAAAACCATTATTTTAACTCAACTGTTGATGTGACTGTATAGTGTATATTTCATTATTTATGAATTCACATTTTCATTCAATGTTTCTGTATTTAAATTAATTTCCTGCTCTTGTAACTCGTGTGAATGCATTTATGCACCTTTTTGTGCTTTATATGTAGCTTCTGTACTGCTGTTTTAGTATAAAAATGACATAAGTGAATGTGAAATTGAGTCACGTATAGTCATTGGAGATCTTCATATGCATGTTAATTAGCAAAGAAAAAGAGAGAGAGAGGTTAAAGTAGCAAGCATGTTTTATTACACCAGTAAATTAAATTTACTGTTATAATGTTGACACTGAGTCGGCATCATATGAAGAGGAAACAACATCACCTGTGTACATAATGTTCTTTGTGCCTATGATTTCCATAATTATGTAAGTGTATTCATGCATCTTTTTGTGCAATCTTATGTGGCTTCTGTGCTGCTGTTGCAGAATAAAAATTACATAAGTGAATGTGAACATGAGTCATGTATAGTCATTGGAGGTCCACATATGCATGTTAATCTGCGGAAAGAAATGGGTTCAAGCATGTTTTGTTACACCAGTAAATTAAATTTACTGTTATAATGTTGACACTGAGTCGGCATCATATGAAGAGGAAACAACATCACCTGTGTACATAATGTTCTCTGTGCCTATGATTTCCATAATTAAAGAGTTGAATGTGTTGTTACTGTTGTCTGTTATTTCCGTGTGTCATTACACTGTGTGCATACAGAAACATACAGACCCTCAGGTCTCAACCACATTCAAATTAACACGCTTCTAGAGAATTACAGTAACAAAGACTAACACAGAGAAAGAAAAAAACACATGATTAAGGAAGAAAAATCCTTAAACAAATGATGTGATGCTGAATGAGGGATAAGAGCAGATATAATAATCACAGTCTGAAGCTGCCGACAGAAGGACAGAAACACACGACCTCTGAAGTAAGACCAACTCACATGTTCAATCTTTAACTAGATTTAGACTTTGACGTGTTAATATCGTCTTAATCAGTGCGTACGGTGCATTTACGTTCCTGTTCAGATGGATTTTTAATTATCGCTGAAATCATGTTTTACACCAAAATTAATCTGTGAATATTTTTCTTTCTCAGAAATGGACCAAACTCTGTATTTCATTCTTCTTCTCATTGGTGAGTGTGTTCGTGGTTTTATTTCTGGTTTCTAGTTTCTAGTTTCATTAGGTTTGATCCTGTTCTGAAAAGCATTAAATCAAAGCCTCTCTTTCACAGCTCTCTGCTTTGTATCTGAATGTGTTCAGCGTCAGTATCACTTTATAAACGAGAGGAAGACCTGGACTGAAGCTCAGAGATACTGCAGAGAGAAATACACAGATCTGGCCACCGTTGACCACATGACCGACATGAACGAGCTGAACAAGAGTGTGAATGGTGGAAGTGTTCAGTATGTCTGGATTGGGCTGCAGAAGACGGGTCGTGATGAATGGCAGTGGTCTTCAGGTGAACCTGCGCTCTATCTGAACTGGGCTACTGGACAACCAGAAGGCACAGATTATTGCGCTGGGATGAGAAATGGACAATGGAATGATTTGCCATGTAGTGATAACCGATATTTCATCTGCAACAACAGTGAGTTAATTTATATATGCACCATATACCAAATATTAATGGAATACTAAACATTATGACTGTTTAATTTGATCTTGTTTTTTTTGTCTGGTCCTTTTTATCTGATAATTTGTCACAATTAAAACTTGCTATTAAAAAGCCTTAAAATCTTAAGAGATCTAAATTGATCTTATATTGTTAATAAAAAAACATACAGCAGTAACGTCTCAGGTTACTTATGTAACCATGGTTCCCTGAGTAGGGTACGAGACACTGCGTCCTCTAGGGGTCGCTATGGGGAACGCCTCGTCGTGACCCGTGTCTGAAGCATACATTGAAAAAACACCAACTCGTTGGCCGGCGACAGCCATGACGTCACTACCGGTGCGACTATAACATAAATAGGTGCCGGGAGCTACACATCATTCACTTCTTCATCTGAAGCTTGCGTCCGCAGCATGGCAAGAAACCTAGAGGACGCAGTGTCTCGTTCCCTACTCAGGGAACCATGGTTACATAAGTAACCTGAGACGTTCCCTTTCATGGGAACTTCGAACTGCGTCCTCTAGGGGTCGCTATGGGGAACGGTATACCCACGCCGCCATGCTGAGGGGAGTGCAAGCCAGAACCATGGCGAGCACTAAGAACCAACTCTACCATATTGCTATGGGAGTCGTCCCTGGGAAGTTAGATGGCTGTCAGTGACGTTATTCCCTACGGCCAAAGGCCTAGCTACATACCCCAAACTACTTACCTGTTAGGGCCAGACTCCTGGGCCCGGGGTAGAGCTCAAGGCTTGGAATCAGAAACAGATTCCTTTAAGGGAATACGACCAAGAGCCTAGAATCATACTAGTCTTGGCCTGTCACACAGGGGCTACCGCACGTTTGTCTTGTGGTGAAGGAACTGTCTCAACAGATCCTTAGTAGCAATACCCTGCTAAGTAGGTATCCAGAGGATACATAGGGGGAGTGGTGCCCAAGGCAGAACCGGGGTTTTAAACCACTCAAAAAGAGCACGAAGTCTTGCGCGTAGCTCTTACCATACAGGATTTTTAGAAAAGTGGGCAAAGCATAACGTGCGCACTTACCAGCTATGTGGATTTTAGAAAAGTGGGCAAAGCATAACGTGCACACTTACCACTTATGTGGATTTTAGAAAAGTGGGCAAAGCATAACGTGCACACTTACCACTTATGTGGATTTTAGAAAAGTGGGCAAAGCATAACGTGCACTACACTTGCATACCGTTCTAGGGGTTCTCGTGGCACCCTGAAAAGGCAGCCTATAGATAAAAATAGCGTATCCCCAGACGCTATATCTACGGCTATAATGCTGGAGTGGCTAGCAGTAAATCTGTAGCTGGGGGAGAACATCCAACTCTCAATGGAGAGGGAGCTCAACCTACAGCATGTTCCCATGGTGGAACAGCTAGCAGTTATTCAGCTGAGGGAGCAACACACTCAGCTCTCAAACCGAGACGGGGCTCGACCTGCAGCATGTTCCAAACTGGAACAGCTAGCAATAGTTTACTTAGCTGTGGGGGCAACACACCTAGCTCTCAGTCGAGAAGGGGGCTCGGCCTACAGCATGTTCCAATGCAGGAACGCTAGCAGTAGTTTACCTTGGCTGAGGGAGCACAAACCCAGCTCTCAACGAGAGGGAGCTCGACCTGCAGCATGATTGAAAATCAGAGGGGTAAGCATACTGCAGTCTAGCCAAACTCTCATTCCAGGTAACCCTTTGATAAAAGGGGAGCATTGTCTCAATACTACCACGAGGACAGCCCATGGAGCGAGGAATCTAACTCCTCAGAGAGGATTAACGCTCGAAAGAAACATCATACTCACAATAACCCTCAATGGTGAGGGGGGGTGATGCCTCAAGGGGATATCCTGGTGATCGGGAAAAACCCCTCAGGGCGACCCGGATACGGTAGACCAGTCAGGGTAGCATGAAAGCGTAAACCCCAGCCCGGACGTCCAGGAAATTTTCTGCAGTGACACCGGAGGCCTGATAATCACAAAACTCCCGCAGAAGCCTGTGTTATAGCCGCATGATCCAGGAAGTATGAAACAGAAACCTTACTTACCTTCTGGACATATCTCGACGAGTGAAATAAACACTGCAAGTCGAGCACCCGGTTTCTGAACCCAGCACGGGAAACACTGCAAAGAAACTAGCAGAAGGGTACACACAACCACCAATTCCATAGCACATACATATATTTATATACATATATTTAGACATGGATCGTACTCACCCACCACGGCTCCCGCGTTGGAGCTCTGTCCGGAAAAGCCTCTAGACCGGACCTTCAGTAAGGTGGTTACTATGATAACCATAGAACCAACCAAAACATCATAGGTCCAGAAGGAGACTGTTATGCAGGAAGCTTCCACCTGACCTCGGTCAGGTGGCGATATGGTGGTTACAGGGGAATTAGGAAGGGGAAGAAAGGGGTAGATGTTACACCCCCTGAGGAAAAGAGTGGATACCTAAGTATTACTCTGATCCGGACAAAAGCGCTGACGCCTTGTCTGGATCACATCCCTCAGGTCCTGCCTACCTCCCTTCGACCCACGATACTTCCTACCCCTACCCGCAGGCGGAGGAGGAGCGCGAGTCGCGACACTAGCCTTCTGTGCTCGTCTCTGATCCTCAAATCGAGACGGACCAGGACCCCTGGGTTGTTCGGGCTCAGACCTGGACCTTCGCGGAATGAAGGTTTTGAAGGCCGCTGAGCGCGCCTTCGCCTCCCTGAACTTTTCGACGACCGCCTCAACGGATGTACCAAAAAGTTCAGAGGGCGAAACCGGGGCATCGAGAAGAAAACCCCTTTCTTTCTTCCCGATGTCTGCCAGGTTTACCCACAGCTGCCTCTCCGTTACTACCATCGCTGCCATAGATCTGCCCATGGCAGAGGCAGCCTGCTTAGTAGCACGAAGAGCAAGATCCGTGGTGCGGCGTAACTCAGCCATCTCATCAGAAGAAAGGCCCTCGCCTTTATCCAGGTCTTTCAGCATCTCACCCATAGAGAGATAGCTGACCAGCGTCTCTCTATAGGGGCATCTTCTCATAACCGCTTTTGCGCATCGCCTCGATGTTGGCATAGCTTGTATGCTGGAATCGATGGATGCGTGAGGAAAAAACGGCCTCTTCCATTCCTTCTCAATCTTTATATGAAAAAACAGGAAGAAAGGAAGGCTCACCTGAGCTGGAGGGTTATGGCCAGAAAAATAACGTTCATCGAGACATTTCGCGACGTCACTTTTTCACCCGCTTCACGGCAAGTAAAGCCTCGCCGTGGCGCGATCCATAATTTCCAAAAGCTCATCATACGCAGGGCAGGAGGATTGGGAAGGCTCAGCCTCAGCTTCTTTGCCCTCCTCAAACATTTCCTGCTTTTACTGGGCTGATCCCAGCAGAGCAATGGCCCCTGACTCAGACAATGTTAATGAATTAATGAAATAACATCATCCTCCAGCGGCTCACTCTAGTGCACAGCCGACGATCGCAAAAGGGAAACCCCCCTTCAAACTCATCGGCCAGGTCCACCTGCGATCCCCACGAGCTCATTCCCTTCCGTGCCTCAGCAGCGGCGGGTCCTGAATCGCTGGAAGCAGATGGCTGCCCCTCTTTCCTCAAAAAGAGAGACAAACGAGAGCGGAGGGGTTTTTTTGGGGGGGGGTTTTTCCCGGAAAAACGCTCGCAGTGCACGCCGATTGCCCCCTCGGAGACATCGCGTGCGTGCTCTTTGCCCAAACAAACAACGCATAGATCGTGTGTGTCATCAGATGTTAAACAGCGTCAACGCGGATGCACACCTCCTTAAATGCTTTGCTAGTGCTCGCCATAATTAGATAAATAGAGATCGCTCTTACCACTTTAGAAATTGCACGCTTCAAACAAAACAGTCAATGAAGACGAAGAAGAGAATGATGTGTAGCTCCCGGCACCTATTTATGTTATAGTCGCACCGGTAGTGACGTCATGGCTGTCGCCGGCCAACGAGCTGGTGTTTTTTCAATGTATGCTTCAGACACGGGTCACGACGGGGCGTTCCCCATAGCGACCCCTAGAGGACGCAGTTCGAAGTTCCCATGAAAGGGAACTAGACGTGATTCGGCTCGATATTTTCAGCCTTCAGTATCTCAACACAAACCTATAAGGGCTTTGTTTCTCATATGTAGATTAACTTGAGTCTGGTTCATGAAGGAATGATATTATGGCAGCAATTCTATGCCATTAATAACCGAGTGCACCACTGATGCTGGCGCGCGCGGTAAAGCAATTCTGCGAGAGGAAAACAGATTTACACGCGAGGAAACAGGAGCCCGCAAGCTCATTTCAAACCCTCGGGCGCACATCCTCGCGCTCGCTCTTCCCTCACCTGCTCGTGCGAACACTTTTATTTTTGTCAGTCGTGGGGCGGAGCTTGCTGTTTTAATTGTAACCTCAAATGTCATTGGTTATTCCTCTTTTCCGGAAGTCAGTTTTGGACGCCTGTTATAAGATGATTTATAATTCTCTTGACTTAAGACATGGCACCAGTGGACCAGATACATGTGAGTTATCGTTTCATTTGCTTGTTTTATTCATTTATTTTGTCTTTATTTAATGTCATTTAATGCATTGTTCATAGAGTAGATCTTTTTCAGATGCTTTATTAATAGGAAGTCTTCTGTTTACTAATGATTGCAGTCTTCTGATGATGAGAGATACACATATGAACCCTTTTTAAAGACTGTAATGATGCACACACACACACACACACA